AGGAATGTCACACCCAGGGCCCAGCTGAGTCTGGGGAGTGACCCCCGAACTCTGTGCTTGCTTGCCTCCCTCATACCCACCTGGGGTCCTGGAGGCCTGAGTCCTATCATATGTCGCCAGGGCCTCAGACATATGACAGACCCAGTGGAAGCAGACAGAGTGCAGATGGCTGGGTCAGCTGGGGCTTGAGTGGTGGCATCAGCTCTCCCGACCCCTACTTCAGTCCCCAGTGAGATGACCCTGGGCAGCCCTGAGCTGCAGCCAGACTTACTCACCAGGCAGACTTCCTCTGGGTCAGAGCCCCCTTCTTGTCCCCAGCTCGATCTGCTGCTCACAGCCCGCACCCCTACCTTGTTTCTGCTCTAGAAATAACAGGGCACGATCTAACCCTATCCCCTTCTTGCCTGCACCAGGAACACTCTCAACCACAGGCCACTCCACCAACTATGTCATCGCTGTGGAGATCCCCACCGACCAGTCTCAGCGACACTGGATAAAGCGCGGCGTTGCCCTCATCTGTGCCCTGGACTACTAGGCTTGGACAGCAGGGTGGTGCCAATAAAGATGAAAGATGTTTTCCCCGCAGTCCAGCTGTGACTGGCTGCTGGCAGGAGTCTTGGCCCTCTGTGGCCTCACAGCCAGGGCAGGGTGAGGGGCTGCAGCAGCCCCAGCAGAGAATGCAGGCGCCAGGGGTAGACAGCAGAGCCACAGCTTTGGCCTGCGGTCCCTAGCCAGATGCAACAAGGGTAGGTGTGCACCCTCCCGCGTCTCAGGGCCCCAGGGGAGAGCACACCAGGCAGGACTTGAGGCAGCCCCCCTCTTCCACCAGGGCCTCCGGCACCTCCCCAGGTTGTAAAGCAGATGAAAGCCACACCCTTCTCCCTGCAAATACCCTTTCCCACAGCCCACGCTCCTCGGCTCAGGTCCTGAAGCACAGGCCTAGGGTTCCAAGGATCTCTGGCCAGATCTACCTAGTAGGCCCTTCCCCCACCACAGCCCTGCCTGCAGACCCAGGCCAGCAACCACAGGACACATGTCTTAGGAGAGTTTTATTCGTTCAGTGATCCAGTATTTATGGGGGCTGGAGGGATGGGGCCATGCTCAGCCCAGAGGGGCAGCCACCCATACCTGCCAGCCCTGTCATCATGTGCAGATAGGAGCCTGCTTGGGTCACCTTCAAAGCCATCTGGCAAAGGCTGTGGGGCTGTCTGAGACCTGAGCTCCAGAGGCAGTGCTGAGTCCATCACCCCAGGCCACCAGGCCCCTGGAAACACAGGGGCTCCAACTGGTGGTCTCAATCCAGCTCTCCCCAACCCTAAGTGCCCTGCAGAGGCTGGGGAGACTAGCATACTAGAGGGAGCTAGTGATGCCAGCTTCCTGCACGCAGCCCTGGCTGCTATCCCTAAGAGGGAGACATGGTAATACTGAGGGGCTGGACAGAGGCCCCTCTGAGCTCTAGGCTCCAGGGAGAGGCCCAGAGCCCAAGATGGGCCCACGGCCAGGGCCACAACACTGAAGGCAGGGGCCCAGAGCCTTGCTGCAGAGCCTGGCTAGAACCAGGACAGGTCACAGGCCACGGAAGAGTTCAAACACTTCCCTCTGCTTAGGCCAGGGGGCCCCAGCAGGCTGCTCATCCCACTCCTGCTGGTACCCCTAACCCCAGTCAGCCTAGCAGCCAGGTCCCTGAGTATGGCACTCTCCCAAGAGGAATGAAGAGCATAGGCCTGGCTTCCTCACCACAGGGATGGCTGGCAGCTGGGGCCGCAGCAGCGGGACCAGTGGAACCCAGTGGCCACGCAGGCCTCCCCACAGGAACCTGCAATTATGACCCTGGCATGATGCGGGGACCTGGGCCCACCAGAATGACAGCTGCTAGGACGAAAGCAGTCAGGAAGCCAACTGTGTCAACATGGTGGCAAGATGGGCTGGAGCCCAGAAAAATAGACATCTCTGATAGGCAAAATATATATTCTGCTCCGCAGGCAGAGGGCCAGGCCTGCGCCCCACAGCCGGCTGTGGAGGAAGCTGCAGCGTCTCGCTGGACCCTGCTCCAGCTGCTGCTTCCCGAGTGCTGTGTCCGACCTGCCCCAGATAGGCCCAGGGCAGGGGTCGGGAATGCGGCCTGGCTGCCAGGCCCAGGGCCCCTGGCTGAACTATTCAGTAATACTGGGAGAAGGGCGAGTGGGGCAGGGAGGGGCCCTGGTAAGGGCCACACGGCAAGAGTGGGCTGCGGAGTCAGGCAGCAGTCCTCACTGGCGCTTGGCCTTGTAGGGGCGAGAGCGTTTCCGCCGGTCAGGCTTCCGCTGTTTGTGGAGGCGGCCGATGCTGACCCCTTGGCGCCGCCGCACTGAGATGTTCTGCTCCACCAGGTTGGCCAGCATGCCTGTGCAGAGGCAGACCTGAGCAGCTGGCCGGGACCCTGGCTGACGCCCACCCAAGCCTCAGGCCAGGAACCCCACAGTCTGCACGAGCCCCAGCAGGCCCAAGGGACATGGCCTCAGCAGGGAGTCCTCTCACCTTCCTGAGCCAGCATGGAGATAAAGGTGCAGATGAACTCGTCGTAGTTGTGGGTCCTCCTCTGGTCGTCAATCTGTGGGACGGAAGGGTGAGGGCATCACAGCCTATGTCCCACAGCGGCCACCACTGACCAGCAGGGGCAGAGGGTCAGCAGGCGGAGACCACCCACCTTGAATTTCTTCCTCTTCTCGACCTCCTCCTTGAGGCAAGCCTCGTAGTTGGCAATCTCGGCCTCCACACACTTGAGAAGGGCCAGCAGCTCCTGCCAACCCAGCATTGTGCCTCTGAAGGGGGCCACCTGCAGCACGGCCCACTCCCAAGGGGCAGCCAGAGGGACAAGCCTACCGAGGGAAGCCCCTGGCACGTGGCCCACTCCCAAGGGGCAGCCAGAGAGGAGAGCCTACTGAGGGAAGCCCCTGCCGCCGGCCACCTACTTCACACCAGAACACCACTCGAGGGCCAGCACGGGGACAGCAGCGGCCCAGGCCCTTCCCCCTCTGCCAGGACTGGCAGGGAAAGTCACAAGGGACACTCACCTTGGGCGAGTACTTCTCCCCACTCAAGGGCTCGCCGGGCCTGCCCAGCCCTGTCCTCTCCCTGCTGTCCGAGCCTTCCACCACCTCCTTTTCCTCTGGGCTGCTAGACCCCTGGTTGCCTTGACTTGGTCTGATGGGGGGTGAGGAACCTTTCCCACTCTCTGGGGAGAGAAGGCAGACTCATCAGAGTGCAGGACACTTTGTGGTCACTTGGCCACCTCCCTCCTGGGGACACCAAGTGGCTAGTGAGGCAGTCGAGGCCCACCTGTCAGCGCCAGGGGACTGAGCACCCCGTCCTCAGCGAGGTGCAGCAGGCCCGTGCTGATGACAGGACCCAGGTCGCGGACAGCGCGGTTGTAGCGTATGCAGTCAACGCGCAGCAGGCTGTCATCCTCCCCAAAAAGCACCTTAGAGATGTGGGAGGTGACAGGGCTGGAGGGCCGCGTTGGGTTGGCCGAGCGGATGGGTGAGCGCAGTGGTGAGTTGAAAGCGCTGCCAATCTCAGAGGCTGTGTCCGTGCTCTCGTTGCTGGGGGTGGGTGAGGGCTGCGAGTGTGTGGGCACTGCCACAGCTGGGCTCCCTGCCCCACTGCTAGTCTTGATGGACAGAGGGATCGAGAGGTCCTTCTGGGATTCTTTGAGCTTCTCAGTCAAGACATTGATGGTGTTGGGCTGCAGCACTGACAGCTGCCCGTCCGCAGAACTGCTCAATGGCCCTGGCTTCCCTGTCCCTTTCCGCTTGTATCTGCGGGGGGCAAGAGGTGAGCTGAAGTGGACCAGGTGACTGCACCCAGCAGGGCCCAGAGTGGCCTAGCCTCCTGGCTTACCCTGATTTCCTCACACGTGGCCCAAGCAGCTTGACCCAACAACCCCAAGCCTGGTACCCAAGCTCTGTCAGCTGCAGCCAGGTGTCCTCAGACTCCTTTGTCCCAATGGTCCCACTCTGGCCTTTGGCTAATGCCACATCTTCCAGCAAAGCTTCCCCCCACCCCTACATCTTCATCCCTGCTCCAGCCAGTCCGTCAAGGCCCAGCTGAAAGGCCATCTCCAACAGGACGTGCCTACATGCTCAGCCTGCCAAAAACTTCTTGGGAGACCTGGGGTCTAGCCCTTCACACCAGTCCCTCTCACCCCGCCCCGGGCTCTGCCCTCCACAGGTGGTCAGCATTATCTGCTGAAGGCGTTCTCAGCCATAGGCCGGGAGGTTGTGAGAGGAACTGAGGCACCTGGGCCCATGAGCCTTCCAAAGCTGGGGCTGACCTGATGGCAGAGCTGGTGTTCTGCACTTCGTCCTCCTCGTCCTCCTCGTAGTCGTCCTCGTCATCGGAGTACTGCTGAGGTGGGCGCACTGGGACGCGGCTGCGGCCCACACCTGCTGCCAGGTCCTCCTCCTCCTGGGGCAGACCAGGCAGGCCTGAGCAGGGGCTGCTCAGCCCAGGCTGGGCCTGGCACTCACGGACGAGAGCAGCCAGGCAGCTCTCCAGGCTGAGCCTCCCACTGCCTCCAGGTGCTCCAGAGCACCCCAGGGCTCCGGGGAGACTGCACCACTCACACTGCGTTCAGCCTACAGAGGGCAGCTAAGAGAAACCAAGCGCCTGAAACACGTGCCTCATCGAACAGGCAGAACCTGACCTGGACAGCTGTACTGAGGAGCGGGCCCAAACATTCAGCCCCACAGCCCTGTGAGTCAGGTTGGAGGAGCTTCCCGCCTCCAACAGCCCCTGCCGCTGGGCAACCTCAGGACATTAGACAGATGGAGGCACCTGGTCCCCATGCCCACACAGAGAACAAGCACAAGGAATCTCATGGAGAAACTGCCCATTGCGACCCTCTCGGAAGGGAACCAGCCAGGGCACTCAGCTTACCTGCATGGGGGACTTGGCATAGTTGTGATTGTCTAGAAAGGCTGGCAGCCGCTGGACAATGGGGGTGGGGTTGGGGGGAACCCCATTGAGGCTGCTCCCCGGAGGCTTCACCACCAGCTTGGGTTTGCTGGGAGGACTGTGGTTTGGGGCTTGTGGGCACGAACCAGCCACCTCCTCTGCACCATCTGATATAGGGCAAGGGACGCAGGCAGAACCTTCAGTCGGATCCTCCCCAGCCACGGTCTCCTCAGCCCGGAGACGCAGCACTGCTCCCCTCCCTTCCCAGGGCACAGCCGAGACTGCGGGTGGAACAGGAGTCAGCAAACTCAAAGTCATGGCCCCACTGTGAGACTGGGAGAAGGAGATGGGGGAAAAAGACAGAGGTGGGAAGAAACGGCCTCTAGAGAAAAAAGAAAGGGGGTGTGTATCATGAAGGAGGGCAGCCCTTGCTCGGGGAGCTTCTCCAGGGAAGGCTGCCCACCCTCTCTGCCAAGGGAAAGCACTGCAGGCCCTGGGCTCCTGGGCTCCTGGGCTCCTGCAGGAGCCTCTGCACCCCTGCCCAAGATCCTCCACAGAAAAAACCTTCTCTGCTTAGGCCTCCCGGGTCAGGCTACAGGGATGAGGGGGTGGCTCTGTGGCCCACATGAGACCCAAGTTCCCCAGTACCTGTGTGGGTGCCCTCAGAGCTTGCTGGGGCCCTGCTTGCGTCCAGCACCAAGGGGGACTTGCTGCTGGCTGGCTTGGACTCCTCTGGTAGCTGTGAGTCTTGAGACTTGTGGGTCTGAATCAGCTCTGGCTGGGTGACCCTAATCAGCTGAAATCAGAACCAGAGGCTCAGCACAGGGTGGGAGACCCAGGCCTTCCCTGGGTAGAACGCTGGCCTCGGCTCTACCTGCCACTCACTCGCGGAGAAATACTATGGCCAGACCACAGCTCTTTCAGACGCTATTCTCCCTGCCCACCCAAGCCCACGTTTCCAAAGGAGGCAAAGGATGGGAGAGGTAAGCTGAAACCCAGAAACCCAGGAGGGTGACTTGGGAATCAGACAGAACCCACTACAAGGGACAGGCAGGGCGGCTGACCAAGGCGGGGACCAAGTGGGAAGGGCACACACCTGCTGGAGGGCCTCCAGTACCGTCTGACGGTTCACCTTCAGCACGTGCAGTCTGGCCTCGTACTTGATCCTGCGGTCGGGCACCACTGCCATCAGGTTGAAGCGGATGTCGTGGTAGGGCTCCCTGCGGTCACAGCCGCAGCCGTGAGAGCAGCTCCCGCCCCGGCCCCACCATCAGGTTGAGGCAGATATCCTGGCAGGGCTCCCTGCAGCCAGAGGAATAGGCCCCACCCCAACAGGCCACAGCAGCTGGCCACACACACCAGGCACCCGAGTCGGTGCCTTCAACACTGTGTGAGGGGCCTGCCAGGAGGTGAGCCAGCACACCTGGGCCACCCAGGGCTCCACCCTGGGGCAGGCCAGAGGCAGCCCTGCCTGGAAACAGGGCAAGGAGCTAGGGCTCAAGGTCGATGCCAATCTGGCCATCAGTGGCCCTGCAGTTTACACATCACCTGGCCCCGTCCTGCCCAAGGGAGCGCAGCTCCAGGAGTGGGGCTGCATGGCACAGGGCCCTTACCCTGCAGTGGCGAGACCGATGCGCTCCATGATGACCCGCCGGGCCTTGTCTGTCCACTCTTCATCCTCTCCCCAGGGCCCTGGGGCAGGAGTGGGAAAGAACACAGAGAATGCCTGAACCAGGCAATCAGGAGCTGGTCTGGCAATGCCATGCAGGGAGAACTGCTAACCAGTCAGATGGCCTCTGTAGCCCCTCTCTAGCCCCACCACTGGTCCCAACCACCTGAAGGCCCCAGTTCAGGGGGCCTACCATGGTCAATGGGGTAGACCTTCAGCCCATCCAGCTCGAAAAGCCGGCCTGTGATAGGCACATAGCTGACAAAGTGGAATGCTTCCATGGTCCGCACTGCACTAAGGCCGTTCTGCTTCTCAGGGAGGTGGCGTGGCTCTGGCCTGGGGAAGGACACAGTCAGGGCCCCCAAAACGACACTTCTCCCTGCCTCCCACCTCACCTAAGCTCCCACAGCTCCCCACACACCTGGCATGGCTATTATGTGCCTTGGCCAACTCCGGGGCATTGCCAATTGCATATCCTTTGCTCTACGGAGAAGAAAAGGTCACATCAGAAGAGCTTCTCGAGTGGGCACCTAGGTCGTGGAAATGCTCCAGAGAGCAGGCCTGAGCCCTCCCAGAATGTGAAGAAACATGGGTGAACGTTCCTAAAGGGCTAATGGGGTTTAAGGAGCTCTAGAGCCCCAAGATGGGCTGTACTGGTTTTGCACAGTAATCAGTCAATGCCACTGAATAATGCAACCTGGCAGAGTGCTCACGAAGGTTCTGCCATGGTATGGCTTAAGGAAGTGTCTTCCCTCTGTAGGTCTGTCCCCTTTCCTAATGACTGGGCCTAAAACCAACGGCTTTGGGGCCAGCAGGTGGTGTGGTGGTCAAGGTGCTAGACTCCCACATGGCCAGCCGTGGTTCGAGTCCTGGACCTGGTGACTTGCTTTCTCATTTTCTCTCTCTCTCACTCTGGTGAGCACACATGCCCTACAGCAAATTAAAGTAATAATAATAAATAGGGGCCGGCAGGTGATGTGGTGGTTAAGGGCACTGGACTCCCCCATGGACAATAACAGTTCAAGTCCCGGACCTGGCGGCTTTATTTCTCATGTTCTCTCTCTCTGTGTCCCTTTAAATAAATAAATAAATAAAGTTAAATAAAATAATTCTCCTAAAAAAAGTAATAGCAATAAATAAAATTAGAAAACTCTTTAAAAAATGGCCTTATACAATTAAAGGGCCAAATGTAATGTAAAAAAATCATCTGAAACGGAAACAGTCTAACTGTACCAAATACCAGGTGGCTGCACTACCAGTGACCCTAAGGCTCCCACCTGCCCAGCCAGCCATGAGCCAGAATAGAGGCGCTGTGGCCTACCTCGGGGCTGAAACCCTTGGTGAAGTCCTTCATGCGACTCAGGGTGGGCCCCAGGTCCACGTTGCTGCAGTTCAGGAGCACGCTCAGCAAGGCATGAGTGGCACAAGAGTTGGGGATCAGCTGTGAAACCAAGAATCGTCACCCGTGCACGACATGCCTCCTCCAAGACCCCAGCTCCTCCTAACCCGTACTACCGGGAATGGGGAACTGGAGAGGGGGAAGTTGAGTCAGGACAGCATCCCTCACCAACTCCCCTCCACTCTGCCAACGCTTATTCAGCAGTTACCAACTAAATACCCACCGAGGTCCGGAGACATGGAGAGCAGACTCAGACACCACCCACTTTTCAGGTATTCCTTTTAACGAGCAAGCGCTCAGTTCCTCCTGCCAAGAGTTCCTGGAACTACCACCCCTGCTATCTGTCTAGCTCCTCCTCCTGCCTTCTCCCACTTCTACTTCCCATGCAAAGGTGAAGGCGGCATCCCACCCTCCAGGCAGCCCAGGGCCCAGCAGACCTGGTGGGCAAAGAACATATTATTCACGATATCGTCATCAATCACCGACGTATCATCCACCAAGGTAGAGACCTTGCGACGGGACCGGCGTTCCTCGATCCATTTGAACAGGAAGATGAATCCGTATACAGGGCTGGGGAAGTACAGGAGAGCTGGCTTAGCCACAGAGCAGAAGGCAACTGGCGCCCCTTCTTCCTCCTATTCCTTTGCACTGACTCCTCACTGAGGTGCCCTTGCCAAGATCCTGCTGTTCCCCTGGCTTCTTCCTGACACTGTGTCCAAAGCAGCCCTAAGCCCTGGAGACCTGCCATAGGCAGAATCAAGCATCAGCTTCTAGCGGTTGTGCTCAGGCAGTCCCCCAGACTCCTCATGAAGGCTATGGCTCCAGGTAAGAAAAGAAAAGCTGGAATTGACAGCCCAGAACGAGACAGGGTAGGACCAAAATAAGGCAAGAACAAAAGTCTGTCTGCTGAAGAATCTTCACACTCAATGTGGACCCCAAAGCCTGGGCCCCAATGCAGCCAGGGAAGCAAATGAACACTGAAACCAGTCCCTTGTTTTCCGGAAAATGAAAGTGGACTTCCTGGTTCTGCCTCTGTAGTAGTCTTTCTGTACCTCTATTCTGGAGACTGCCAGGACAAGACCTAGTTTGGGCCCTTAGGAGGAGCCTTGTTCCATTCAATACAGGAAGAACTTCGTATGGGGATTAAAGCCACAGCACACATGGGTACGCTGTAACTCATAATTTACACCACTGCAGGAAAGCACCGAGTGATCTGGGGCTTTCTGCAAGAACAGACACGCCTAAGGATGGTTAGGGTAGAGAAGAGGGCTACTCCGTAAATGGAAGTGCCAAAGGAAGGTTGGGAGAAAACCTGAACACCAGCCAGAACAGGAGGGCATCTAGACCGGAAGGATGCTTCCTGTAAGTCCTATTTGACGGCCTAGGACTCTGCTTCTGCCTCCCTGGAGAAGCACTCTTCCCTGTGCCTTTCCCAGCCGTGCGGGTCTAAGGGGCAGTCCAGGAGCGCAGGCACTCACCCCTGGCATTTGCTCTGAAGGTCATAGATCTCTTCCACCTGCACCCCTTTGACACCTGCGTTGGGGAAAGGAAGCGGTAGGGAAGGGCGGCCCCTGGTCCTGCAGCAAGGGCACAGGGGTGGGCCCCCACAGCCCCAGTCCAGCAGGCAGGGGCAGCTCTTACCGAAATCTTCCACCAGGAGGGTGAAGAGGCCTGGGTAGGGCGACAAGAGCAGGGGCCAGTGGTCAGGCAGGCGTGTCCCGAGCCCATCCGGCCTCCCCAGCCCCCCGCCAGCCCAGCACCCTCCTCACCCGGGTCGCTCTCCAGCTCCAGCCAGCCCTTATTCATCTTCCCGCGGGGCGGCCCCTCAGCGCCATGTCCAGGCCC